GGTTCCGCCGCGAAATTGATTTACGTCGAACGGATCCTGATCGCCGCTCGTAACTCGTTTTGATCAAGCAGCCATTTAAATTTCCCTGTGTGTTAAGCGACGCCTCCGTCCTCCGCTGTGTGTGCCGGACAAACGCAAAAGGGGTGGGAGGGGGAGGGACGATGGGAGGTTGGCACTAGTATGGTGATGCTGGTGCTGATGCTGACGGCGGGAGGGCAGGCAGGGACGAGGGGAGAGAGGGACAAATCAGTTTACTCAATCGCAGCTCGGCCGGCGGTGGCTCACGAGACTCGCTGTGGCGTCGTTTAATTCACTTTGGTCTGGACTCGAAATTGAAATTGGCCCGATTCCGGGCGCACCGGTGAACCGAAAATATCTTTGTGGCGACCGCGCACCGGGAACGAAAACAATTTCGGCGCACGTTAACCGCTTTTACGGAGCGAAACCTGGTTACCTAGCCGACATGGAGATACGCGCCGTCGACTCGTCCGGAGGAGGAAGACACCCATATTTCGCCGATAATAGTCCCATCGAGAAATATACGCGGCTGCGTGCGGCGACGACACGCTCGGGACATCCTGGCCGGTCCTTCGCGAAGGAGCGGACGCGCCAAAAGATTTAAGGCGGAAGCGTAATCGCACGCGGAGAACGTCCACGTCGAGCCGCACATTTCCCGCGGGCAATGGTCGCATCCTTTCTTCTCCCTCCTTCCTCTCTCACTATCCCGCCACCCTCCTCGAGCAGTTGACCCCGATTTTAAAGCGGACACCTTCTTTCCCGCGCAACATTTCCCCCTTCGCCATTTTATCCTCGATCCCGTCTTTATCCCTTCAGATTCTCCCTTCACACAATTCTCTCTCTCTCTCTCTCTCTCTCTCTCCCTCTTTTTTCTTTTCTTCTTTCCCTTCACTCCTTCCGTCGCGTCTTATCTCTCATCTCCGGAGTCGGTAGCCTCCGCGGTTGTGTCGCGCTCTCGCGAGTTCCCGCGCTCGCGAGACACAATAAAGCGTGTCTCTATCCATCCCGCCTGTAACCGCGTTACCGTTACCGCCACGACGACGACGGTGACGTTCCGCGAGCCGCACCCGTTAAATACTTCAGACAATCGTCGTCACGCTCCCGCGGTTCTCCCTTCTGTTGCAGGTTAATCAGCCCAACTTTACCTCAAACGTGACCTGATTCCGAGCCAGCTTGCCATGGACAACAACCCGACCCCGAGCTTTCGACGCAAACATAAAAATAAATATAGTGTGGTATATTAATCTAGGATCTATACAACACACACGTAACACACGAATCGACAAGGCATGAGACACCGGTATATAATAAGCTCTTATGTACTCCCGAGAGACTCCCTCTCAATCTTATCTTACCTATAGATGGAAAAAGAAAAAATAAAGCGCACTGTTCAGCGGTCTCATCAGGGACGGAGGAATGCCGCGTGCAACGCAGATGCGCGTGCGCGCGCGCGCGCGCGTGCCGCCGCCTCGCACGCGAGAATGTAAACGAGAACGACACGCGCGTGTCGCTGATACGCGCGCGCGTCGACCGTTAATAGTACATAATATGTATACTTAACTTGTGATTTTTGTATATAAATAAAAGCGTTTTGCCCAAGTTGGAAAAATCTCTCGTTGCACGACTCATCGTTCTGTGGATATCGGCCGCCCCTCTTCCCTTCCCCGCCGTCCTTTCCCTGCTTGCTTCGCGCCGGTTAGCGTCGGGGGCTAACCGATTGCGCGCGGGGATGACGCGCGACGCGACTAATTCCGCCGACGATAAAAGCGTATGCTTGTTTTCGGGAGAGACAGTCCATTTTCGGGGGAGGAGATCGATAATTCGGTCCGCTTCCGAGTCCGCGTGTGAGGAGAAAACAAATGGGGGGGATTGACGAAAAATGGACTCTCGCTGATGCTCTCCAGATAAGCGGCTGGAATGGACGTCGGGCGAGTTGTTCTTTCGCGAATAACAATGTATTCGGAAAAGGCTCTACTGCTGACAGATCAAACGAGAAACACGAAGCGCTCGCTTGTGAAAGTCACGGATTTGATTGGAAGCGATTAAAAATTCGCAAATTACAGACTCTTCGTTAGTCTTTTCATCGCTTTTGCCAACGTCACGTGTTATATTCTCGACACCCCTCGTCGGGGTGGAGCGCGCAAATAGCCGAGTCTTTCGTCTCGTTCGAGCGTTCGCTCGTCGCGTTGCGCCGCACACAGTGAGAAACATAAATTTATACATCGTTTCGTTTGCGAGGGGAGCCTTGCGGATTCGCTCTTTGTTATCGTACGCCGACTTGCCAAGTCTGCGAGGAGCCCGGGAGAATGACACGGCCGCTACTCAAAGTGGCTCGCGCGAGCTGCACTTTTGGTCGCGCTCGCGCGCTCTCTTTATTTTTCACGAGATCGTCCGCCGTGTTTCGCAAGCCGGGGCTGCGCATTTCCGAGTCTGTTATTTAGATATCGAGTCCCGGCCGAAGCGGTGCGCACGCGAATAATTTTACGAGAGGGAGACAGACGAGGGCAGAGAGAGGGAGCAAGAGAGACTGCGGGGATGAGGTTCTCGCTTTACATGCGCATTGCCCGTAAACGCGAAACGACGGCGGGAAGCAACGTGAAGCGAATGCTGAACAACGGCGCGGAGACGCGCGCGTTTTCGTCGTAAAAATGCGAAGCTCTCCGCGGTGCTCGCTCACCGCGATCGCTCGCTCGCCTCCCGCTGGAAAGGTTAAAAAGCGCGGGCGCATCTTCGACTTCTTCGCACCGTCATTATGCAATTTTGCCTCGCGTAGCGTTGCTTTTTTAATCTGCCCTCCTCCGCCTCCTCCTCCTCCACCGGACTGAACGTTCCATCGAAATACCCTCGCCTCGCACGCGAGAGAGTCAGTTACCCGGCGGCTAACGAGTCCGTTTTAGCACAATGAGTCTCAAGCGAGAAAAAGGAAGAGAAACACACACACACACACACACACACACACACACACACACATACACATATGCAGACAACAGCTGAAGACGACGACACGACGACGGCTGCCGGTCGCGTCGCGGCGCCGATTTCGACTTCCACGACGGACGGTGTGACGGGTCCTTTCACGAAATATCTCCGCGACGACGCGACGACGGACACGCGTGCTGTCACGTCACGGCTATCGAGTACACCTCGCGTTGACTGACAAGATAATTCAACGGCGGCCAATGCTACGACGTTGCGCAAGCGGCCGGAGAAACCCGCTAAAATAGAATGCGCCATGTACAAACACGGCTTAATACCCTCCTACACGACAATGTTACGAAGTTATGCTCTCGTCGCGAGCCTACGCGGCTTCTTCCCTTCCTTTCTCGCGGCTCGCGACGTCTGAATGAACGTCGAAAGTTCGGCGGTTGCGCGACCCGCGCGACGACGCGAGGCGACGCCGCGGTGTCATCGTTAGAGTCGGACACCGTCGAATATCCTGATTATAGTATCCCCGGATGCTTGTCGCACAAAGCCGCCGCATGAATCATCCTAATCGTGACAGAAGCCGCGGCTGCTTCCAGAGATGTGTCCGTCGCGGAAGCTCAATTAGCGGATTAACTAGCTTGGAACAAAAGTATGATGAAGCGACTTCGCACGGGTGTCGCTCCTTGCGCGCGAGTCCTTGCGAAATCGAGTCGCCGTGCTTCTTAGGTTCCTCTCGATCGAGCGCTAACATGTTGGTCGACATCGTAGCGTGAGATCGTAGCATTTCATCAAATCTTGGTATAATTAATTGTGCCTAAAAATAAACGAAACCCGCGGCCGAGATGGGGAGCCGATGAAACAAAATGGAAGATACACGCGTCTCTTGAAACATTTGTCTTGGCATCATGTTTCGTGATAAGAAAAGAAAAATACGATCGTCAGCTGCACAATCAGCGAGGATCGACCCGACAAGCTGACTTGTGTCAATTTGATATTTACTGGTTTTCCGTCGAGTCAACCTTCCCCTTTTCTACGACCAGATTTAAAACGAGCAGCCCATTTTTTCACAGTGGAAAGTGAAGGTGATGCATCCTTATACACTTTTAACAATTTCGGATGAATTTCTGTTGGTGTTAAACCATCCAAAACAAAGAATTTAATCACTGCACGATATTCAATTTTTTCCATTTTAAAAAAGACTGACACGTCAATATTACCATAAACTGGTGCTACTACTCGAATGACTCGACAGATCGAAATAAAATTTTACATGGGTTTATATCAGGATTACCACTTTCCAATACAATTATAGTTTGACAGTTTCTAATGCCATCTATCAGTCAGGCGGAGAACTTTTCAGACTGCCCTCGTAGGTACGTACCACGCCCTCATCCTTCGCGCGTCAGCAGCGTTTTCTGCGGTTCGCCTGCAAATTTTACTTCTGCACTTTTAATTGTCCATAATTAAAAAGAATGATGATACACACGAATTAACACAGTGATAAAAACTGCCGGAGGGGTGCAAATGGCTGCGCCACGGGAGAAGCCACGGACGCGTGCGTGTGCAAAAATCGCAGCGCGCTCACGAGGACTCGCGAAGGCTCCCGTTGATATAATCGTCCTAACGACCTGTCGTCATACGCGAGCGCGCACGATGTCGGGCGTCAAGAAGAAAAAAGCACTTGAGTGCGATGCACATCGATCGAGAGGAATCTCAAGGAAAAAGTGAGCGAGTACACACAACGCGCGCATCTCAAAGGTTAAGGCACCTTAAGCGTGCACGTTCGTAACGTGCTTGAACTTTGCATCCGTTTGTGCACCTTTGCAGCGCGTTCGTGCGCGCGAATAATGTGTCGAAATTTTCGTTCGGCTGAAATCTCAGCCGGAGAATCCCCGGCGTCTGCGGTCTATGTGCTTCGATCGAAATTCCGCCGCGTCGTGTCGACGCTGCGATAACTCAGACGTCATCGCTCAGACAAATCGCCAGCCGAGTACGATGATTGCTCGCGACCGGACGCGTGAGCGATGTGAATCACTATGAGATTACGAGACGACGTCGAGGGTGCGCTGCGGAATTTCCGGGAGGACTCGTGCGGGGACGTTTTCCCGACTTTCCCGGCGCGAAAGTTTTCAAGAAGGCGTTCCTTTGTGGTGCGCGTCGGTCTTATAATAGGATTCGAACCGGTATCAGCGAGTTGGCATTTGAGGCAACATGCCGACGATACCCGCCATCAGTACAGAGCATTGCTATCTATAAAAGGAGGATGCGGTGGATGAACGCCCGTCAGTATTCTTGTGCACGCAATATCTGGCAAACCGAGGCAGTTGAAGCGAGAGGATTCGGAGTCGCCTGCTGATCGAGTCTAAAAGTGCGTCTTCGTAACGACTGCCTCTCTTCGATAATCGCCCGAAAGAGATAGAGAGAGAGAAAGAGAGAGAGAGAGAGAGAGAGAGAGAGAGAGCGAGAGAGAGAGAAGGTATCGCAAATCCCGATACTCCCGACAAATCCCGTTTCGCACATAATTCTTGTTCATCCGGAATTCACCCGATTCTCGAATTCGACTACAACTGTCGTAGAACGATTGTGCTCGCTCTGGTAGATCAAACAAATCACACAAGTATTACTCGCCGCGGCGTGACCAAGACCCGCATCAATAGTCGTTAATTGAAACTCGTCTCATGTGGCAAGCACGGAAATTTGAGTTTAGAGCATTGCGGTTGCAATCGCCATTGCAACGGCAGCGTCGCGTTCTGGCTCGCTTTAGAAATGTTAAACTTTTTAAAGGCTTTTCCAATGTTTTCATTAAACGCTACGATACACGTGCATAATATTCGATTCTCAATTAAAATCCAAGTACAGATGGATAAACGTAGAAGCGACGACTCGACGACGGAACTCAAATTCCACGAGCGCTTCGATTTTCCAATCGCGCGATAATCGTCCCTAATTACTCGATTCGAGGCGGCCGCGTCTCGAGAGCGATTCTCGATGTTGCCGTGCAACGTCGTGAACCTTAACCGCTACATGTTCGTATATCACGTACATACACGCGCGCATACACACACACACACACGCGCGCGCGCGAGGCGTGCGGCCGGCAGCCGCTCGCCGGTAGACGAGTACATCCCTAATCTATCTGCGATCCCGTTCAGGATGAATCCGCGCGCAATTATCTTGCTGAGCCTGGCGGCGGTAATATCGGCGGCGAACGAGCCGATAGCCATCGTCAGGCAGGAGCAGGATATCAGTCCGGACGGCAGCTACTTCGCACGGTGGGAGAGCGCCAACGGGATCACCTTCGAGGAGCAGGGCGTGCAGAAGAACACCGGGCAGAAGGACGAGGCCGAGGAGGTGCGCGGCTCGGCGGCGTGGACCGCGCCCGACGGACAGAAGATTAACATCGGATGGCTGGCCGACGAGAACGGCGCCACGTTCCAAGGCGCTCATCTGCCGACCCCGCCGCCCCCGCCGGAAATTCCGCCCGTCATCCAGCGCGCCCTCGACTGGATAGCCGCTCATCCCTACAAGGAGGAGAGAAACAAAGTGTAATCAGCGCTGCGACGACACGCCTTATCACGCGGACTCGTCGAACGTTTGCGCGTTCATGTATCGCATCAATACGTTCGGCTCGATGTCTGTTGTAAAAAAAGGGAGACGAGAGAGAGAGAGAGAGAGAGAGAGAGAGGGAAATTTGTATAAAAATTCGATACACCAAAGGGGAAGAAAGCTGTAGTTTTTAATATCCGATTCCTCTCTCGTGAGCGCAACGAACTCGCGCGCGTTCGGCCGACGATCGAGTATACGCGGGCTTGATCGAGATAATCTTGGCGGGATATGTGATAGATGCGATATCGAGATATGTTAACGGAGATGAGAGGCTCACCTTTTCCCGTGGATCCTCGTTGAAACTGATATCAATTTACTCCAACGTGCGCCATCAGATCATTCGGAAATGATCATCCTCATTGATTATCCTATCTTTGGGAACAATCGTGATTAATTGTGTCCTTGCAAATTTCACAGTTTATCGCGTCTACCTCCGCGTCGCAATCATTCCGATGCAACACGGAATCGGTCCGCTTTAGAATCGCGCCATTTGCTGATTTGCCTCTCTGACACGGTGAAAAGATTTTCCGCGAACGCCGTTGAAAAGATATCGCTGCCTCTCTCAATGACGCTTTTCGAATAGCTAAGCAATTAAAGCGCTTGTTTGCCCTCTTGCGACGTGCCAGCATTTGCTTCGCTTACTTTCTTAGAAAATTTGAGAGAGAGAGAGAGAGAGAGAGAGATTCTCTGCCCGAGAACGGAGCTGCTTGACATGAGAGTGGCAAACTCGTCAAACTTGGGCGTGGACGCGTGGTTATGGAAAAGTCGGGGTCAGAAATAGTCATTACGACGGCAGCGACGGACGAATCGTTGCGTAAACGAGCGATAGCGAAAGTTGCCGCATTGTCAACCACTGCTGTTCAGAACCGGAGACAACAACGGCCCGAGGAATGCGGCAATTAAGGTGTGAGGATGCAGTCGCGAAGAGGATCAATCACGACGTCGCTTTTGTCCAAGACTAATATCCATTAATATCAATTAATATGCCAATAATATTAATATATTCGATACTCGATACGACGAGAGCGCAAAAATAAATTCACTCGAAAAGCGAACAAGACTTATCTTCCAATTGATATTTATTTTCGTACAACTTGGAGCTTCCAAGTGATATTTACAATTAGGAAATAGCTCAAAGTGTATGGAATCAAGTGGGTCTTTAAGTGAATCCCATTTAACGAGACACGTATTATTTAAAAAGGATGTATTAATTGACAGCAATTAATATCATTCAGTCGAGCTACGCGAGCGAACAGCCAAGAGAGTCGATTCATCTCTCTCTCTCTTTCTCTCTGCATATTTCCTGCTTTTTAATTCACCAGAGCCTTCTTCGTTTCGCGTCTTTTTCTCTACGAGGAGAAGTTTCCTTCTTTAATCTCTCGAGACAACTACGGTCGTCAAACAACGAACAAGCGCGTAAATAAGCAGGGATTGCTCGTCTACAGGAATATTCGGTGCACGCCGATTGTTGCGCTAAATTGTTTACGAAGGCGCACGCGCGTATGCGTGTGTGCTGTGCTCGTGCACCGTCGCGTTTAATTTGATAATTAATACCAAGCGACCGCTTCATAATTCGGTTATAAATTCTGCGAATCATGTTTCTTGATTGCGGCAGTAATTTCGATTCGACGGCACGATCATAATCGCTATTTGTTGAATCGCGAGCGCAAATAAGACTGCGATAGATAGAATTAATCGAGGCCGGATAATCGAATTTATGGAACTATTAATAAACGTTATGAGTCGCCGGCGATATCACGCCCGATATGTATCACCGATACGCGCATCCTGCGATGCATATTCAGATTAATATTTTGTCAAACGCGAAATTGTTATAATGTTTGTGAAATATAGTGACGCAATAGCGCTGCCAACCGGTGAAAGAGACGAGAGAGAGAGAGAGAGACAGAGAGCGATATTCGTTTCGTACGGTAAATACAATATGTGGGATACCTCGAAAGAGACTCGCGCTTTCTCTATCCACAAATATTAAAGATTACATTGAATAAGAAGAGTTAAACGATGCGAGTGTGCGCGTATGCGTGCGCTATTGAGCGGCATTAATAATAATCTGCTAATTGGCTTTCTGGTGAATTAAGCAATTAAGCGAAACAAGCATATTAAGGAGCAAAGGGACTAATCTCGTTTCTCGCTCGATTGAATGCGCATTTCAGCCGAGAGAGAGAGAGAGAGAGAGAGAGAGAGAGAGAGAGAGAGAGAGAGAGAGAGAGAGAGAGAAGATACCTCGCGGAAGGACGTCGCGAGAAAAGAAACGCAAAAAGGGAATGAGTGTTTGGTGAGTCAGATTCGCCAAACAGTCGAAAGCCATTGACGAATTTGCTGACGAACTATTGACAGAAAGAGAAAAAAGCGAGAGAGGGTTCGGAGGAGGAGGAGAGAAGCCGTTCCCTCGGAAGCCACGTTCGTGCGCGCGCGCGTGTGCAATTCCCACTCCGCGGGGTTACATCTCGTAAGATTCGACCGCGAAACTTACGCGCTAGGAAGATTTATGTAAGTTAACGGTTACGTGACGTCGCAACAAATTGAGTACACGACTCACGTGCTAAACGACGATGTACATGACGAGTGTCGCATCCGCCCGCGGTGAAAGTTCAACGAGAGCGCCGCGAGCCATAATAGGTTCCGGTACCTCCGTCGCTATTGCACCACCATCAGCACCAGCAGCACCGCCCTCGTGGCTGTCGAATGTCAACGTCAAAGTGTCGAATCGAATAGACGGTCTTTTAGAAAGTCCCCGGCTAGACGGCCGGCCCGCGCGACGGACGAGACGTCGGGTGCCAAAGGTTAGCCGCGATTATCGTGGAGTTACCGGTGAGTCGTTTTGATTCCGCGTCGGGGTTGCTCGCGTGTTGCGCCCCCATCCACGCACAATGGGCCCGCGCACGCGGAGAAATTGGCCGGCCCGATCATTAGACGAGTTCGAGACGAGAGAAAAGAAGACGCGCGTCACCGCGTCGAAGAGCGACGGCCGTTGGACATTCGATTGTCCGTCGCGATCGGTGTGAAAAGAGCGACGGCGAAAGAAAGAAGCGCGTTATGGCCGATTTGAATCTCTCGACGGGCGACGAGGAGAGCTGCGTGTGAAATCGTGGACGAAACGATTTCATTATCGCTCGCCGACTATCGCGGTGCGATTAAAAGTGATTCGAGCGGCAATATCTTTATTAACACATTGTTGGTTCAGGCGTCAACTGTTTTCGCGCCGTTGTTTTCCACCGGCTATTTATCCCAAGTCAACATGGATGAGTTGATTTTATTCGTTTATTTATTTATCAATCGGGAATGTTCGCATTTGATGAGGAAGAACGGGAAGAAGCAACATATATAACACCAAACAAAAATGTAATGAAATAAAATAATGGAATATAAAATGAAGCAAAAAAAAAAACAAACAGCCGACGTGAAAAGTGCCGGGGTCCGCGAAATTAATTATCAATCGGCTATTTTTAACGGTGTTTAATCCTTGCTTTCGGCTATTTTCTTTCTTTCCATAGAACTCTCGAAACGTCAGACAAGTGGACCGGTCGACAACGAGAGCACAAAGTTGCTCATGATCCTCGATCAAAATGTGTTAATAAAGATATATCGAAGGACCCAGTGCGCATTATCGACCGAATTGTCGGGACACAAGTCGGATATCGCTGTAATGGCTTTGCCTCGACACGAATTCAATCATCGTAATAGCCGGCGATTAGATTCGAGCTTAATCCGCGAACCGCCGCAAGTACGCGAAGCACAGTTGCTGCCGCTCAGCAAATAAGCTCTCGACGGAAATGTCGGAACACACGCTCGCCACGTCAATGCGGTCGTGATGAAAAGTTCGGCCCGGTGGCCATATGTCGCGCGTTACGCAAGAGAATCACGTCTTTGGCCACTTGGCGTGATTGATTAATGCTAGCGAGCAAGGTCCGCCGTAATAAAGACACGATGGCGGCCGGCCGTGTTTACACCGATGTAATATCTTACCGTAATAGTTGCGCCGCGACTTTCTACCGTAAATCAGTGCGACGTAATCGCGGCGTCTATCAACGACTCGTCCGAGACAATCGATCGGGCGATAAGAGTCCGCGCGCGCGCGCGCGGACGGACGGCGGCGGAGGCGCCTGAGAGGAGAGTGTCTTCTCCTCCTCTCGATTCACGATTCATGGACGCGAAATTATTTCGTCAGACGCGACCTCGTCTCGTGGAAACGCTAATGAATTCTTCATTCGCGCAACGATGACGCGAGTGTGACACTACTAACCGCAACGTCTCTCGCTCTCTTGTCCCTCTCTCTCTCTCTCTCTCTCTCTCTCTCTCTCTATCTCTCGCATCCTCCCCGGAACGCCGAATAGGAGGATCTCTCCGGCTGAATTCCGCGCTCTCGCTCTTCCGACGCGGGATTCGGGCGTATTAATAGAGCAGCGTCGTCTCTCCTGGGATGCAACGTTTATTCTCAATGCACCGTGACACATACACTGACGACGAGTCAATTACACGATCGATCGTGGTACATGTATGTGTGTGCGCGCTCGTGTCTCTATATATATATATATATCATATATATATATATATATATATATCAATACACGATACAATATATAATAAAATAGAATATATACGTATATATATATATATCTCTCTCTCTCCGTAATGTCGTATAGGCGTACAATAAATATTTACAACACAATTTGAACCAGAGCAGTCCGTGTTCGTTCATTTGGGCGAGGGCCTTCGCGGTCGGCGGCAACACTCATCGTCATCGTCATCGTCATCGTCATCGTTATCCGGCTCGATCGGCATGCACCGTGGATCGTCTTCCATTGTGGCGTGAATAATTACGTGAGGTCGTGAGATCACACATAGTGGACGGCGGCGCCGGTGGCGTTGTTACACCTCGTTCTCGTCATCCTTGGACGGGTGCGCCGCGTTCCACTCGAGGGCCTTCTGGATGAGCGGCGGGATTTCCGGCGTGGTCGGCAGGTGCGCGCCCACCGGCTGGAAGCCGTTCTTGTCGGCCACGTACGTCAATGAGATCGACTGGCCGTCGTCGCTCTGGTAGCTGAAGGCGCCCTGCGCCAACATCGCCTCGTTCTCGCTGCCGGCGTCCTCCAGGTGGCCCTCCTCCTCGGCCTTGATGCCGTTGCCGGTCTCGTAGTTCCACTTGTACGAGCCGTCCGGGTTCGGGCCTTCCTGGCTTTGGCTGACGATCGGTATCACGTCCTCGGCGGGGGCCGCTAGGGCGCACGCCGCCAGCGCGATCAAGGCTACCTGCGGAGGTGGTGAACAAACCACGGGGTCAGTTTGACGTTCTGTGAAGCCGCTCGAGCGGGCTCGATCGGCGGGGGATGTAGCTCTGATCCGAGTAATCGCGACGACGACGCGGTTACTCGTTCGTTACGCGACATCTCCATTTTCTGTCTCTCTATTTCCCGGTTTTCTATTATACTTTGTTGCGTGCAGCAAATACCGGTACATGTATTATGAAGTATCGCGGAGTTGAGAAAGAGAGAGAGAGAGAGAGAGAGAGAGAGAGAGAGAGAGAGAGAGAGAGAGAGAGAGAGCGCGCGCACAAAAGGCGGGACGACAGCGATGAATGCTGCTACTAGACTACTACGCCCGAGGTATCCAACGTGACAGTAGTGTAAAATAATAGATGCGAACACACAAAGAAGAGAAACACAAAGGAGGGAAGTACAAAGAAGTACGAAGATAGAGAGAGAAAGAGAGAGAGAGAGAGAGAGAGAGAGAGAAAGAGAGAGAGAGAGAGAGACGATGGGAGAGCAAAAGGGACAAATAAGAAAGGGACAAGGAAAGAGGAAAGAGAGAGAGAGAATGAGGAAAAGAGAACGAGCAGAATGAAAGAAGTATATACACGCGTAATAATAATACGATAAGAAATTTGAGAGAAGCTCGCGTTGCTTGCGGTCTCACCGACAGAAAGAAAGGACACATGAGACTCACGGCAGGATGAGAAGCGCTACTTCTTGTGCATTCGCCGCAACGAACGAGTCCGAGACGGCGGAAGGGGCGGCGGGAGAGGGCGGGGAAAGGACGAGAGAGCTAATAAGGAGGGAGCTAAAAATGTTTGGCCGCCGCCCGGGAAATTCATCCCGGTCGGCCGCGCGATGTTTTAACATTCAATATTAATCGACGCGCGGCAGAAGAGCCTCGGCTCCGCCGGGATAATCGCGTTAGCGACCGAGGTATTTTCCCCGTCCGCGGTGAAATTAATCGCGCTTGTAAAATCGCCAAGAACGATGCGATCATTATCTGCTTAATGGCCGACGTTGCATCGTTAAAAAATGTTTATCGCCGATTCATCAGCGTGACGGAGGCGCGTCGCGGTGGCGGATTTACCGTCACGACCGTCCGCACTGACCTTAAATTCCTTTCCTGCTGTTTGACCGTCGTTCTCCCGCGTGCTTTAGCGCCGGGACTTGGAGACTCTCGCGACGCGAGTTTCGCAGTCGCGAGTCGGCGCTTTGGCGGAGTTCGCCTCGAGGGAGAGATCCTACGTGACCGGAGGGCGTAATCGCTAGCGCCGATCGACCCGAGTCGTTATTACGTGGCGGCACATTACGAAATCGGTCGTCTCGTCGAAGCTGATATTATAAATCCGTGAGGAATCGAACCCACGCCGGGGTTAAGAGTAAAAGCAATCCTCGCGGAGGATTGCGGAGATACGGCGCGATTAATTCCGCCGGGTTTATTACTGATCGATCTATCGCACGTCGACACGGCAGATGGAATCCCGATTGAAACAATGACCGCGCGCCGACGAGAATGCACCCGAGTGCTGCGGCGAGTATAATTTAATATCGACGGAATACACACGCCCGAGCCGGCTTGCCTGCGTCGCAGGCTGAGATCGAGAGAGAGAGAGAGAGAGAGAGAGAGAGAGAGAGAGAGAGAGAGAGAGAGAGATAGCGATCTCTTCGTTAACCGCAACCGGCTGAGTTTCTAGATGCGCAAACATCAGATGAACATTAGCCTTTTCGTCGGCTTCCTCGTTTGACGTTCGCGGCGTTGCACAAGTGTTTATACTGGGACGCGCTAATAGCCAGCGCCATTCAACCTGGCGGTATTTAAGGCGCAATCGGCGCGACGCACCGGCTGCGTTAATTCATCGACTCACACACGAGCACTTTCGAGAACGACCAGAAGCGAAAACGCACGCACGCCGGTGTGGAAGCGTTTCCGTCCGTGCGTTCGCGGAGTTCTCCGGTAGCGGTCATCGCGGGTCTCCTCGCAGACTGCTAGCGCGGGTTATCGCGGAATATCGGATATCGTATGTAATGCGCGGAGCATCTAGTTTTCTAGCTTCGAGACGTCGACCGCATGCTCCGCATGCATCGTTAAATCGAATCGTGTGCCGCGCGCGAGTCGGCGGTAACCTACTGCGCGCCGCAGTAGTGATACCGTTTCGAGTCAGACGCGCGACAGGGGATCGCGCCGCTGCTGGTGTGGCGGCCAGACCAGGTCAGCCGCCGCGCCTCGAGTCGACCGAGGCTGCTCTCCTCCGTGCGCGATCCTGCGCCATCACGCCGCGTGTGATTGTCGCATACAAGTGTACGAATGAAGTATGACAATGACTTGGATGTTGGAATTATAGAATTGACAGAGTTGTCGCTTGCCCGCGAAATAAGACACGACGATGCTCCGCGGGAGAGAGAAAATATTACGCGACGAAATGTGAAGCGGTTGGAAGCTATCGCCGCTTGAAAATGTCGCGAATGCATTAGCGCGATTTTTTGGAAATTTCTCTCGGCGGAGAGACGAAGGTATCATGCGAGCGTGAGACGTGAGACGGGAACGGCTGCGTCGGGAAGGATTATTTGCGCGTGAAAACTTTGCTCAGCCGGAGTGTCGCGAGTCGCGACTGTTGGGATCTCGGGCGTTAAAACTCGCGTTAATTAACGATCGTGACTGGAAACTCATGCGGGATACAACGGATCTTAACGCGGAGTTAGGTCCAAATTTTTCGGTTAAATTGTGCAACACGCGCGAGAGTCTCACGTCACATTTGCAGTCGCGGTTCAATGGGAACACCCGCATCTATTGATCTATCTTTCGCTAACTGAAATTCCGGTATCTCACGTGAGAAACAAGTTTCAAGTAACGACCGTCATTACGAGCCTAAGTAACCGCGGTATAACCGAGTCTCTCCGGCTGAAATGTTGCCGAAGTTAAGTACGGCCGAAACCGATCGGAGAATAAGCCGCTGTTGCTCGCCTACGAATTCTCACGCCGTTCGCACGCCTCCTCCCCTCCACCCCGTCGTTTTGAGATTAACCCAAAACTCCGCGGTAACTCGAGCGTTATTTCGATTTATTCGCGATTATTATTCGCGGCAACGTCGTCGCGGCGGAAAAACCGTCTCGCGAATTCACGCTATCACCGCGACGTCACGATTTTCAGCGCAATTATGACTTTTATATTACATCCGCACGTAATAATAATAATATTTTCCTTTTTCCCTCGATTCCCTCGATTTTCTCGAAAAGCGTTAAAATCAATCCGCGCTTATGAGCACGGCGAGCGCGACGATCGCAGATGAGAAAGTCGCCCGTAATTTTTCGCGCGAACTTCAAAATGTGTCCTTCTTGCCCGAGATGGAGGAATCCTCCTTAAAATTATGGACTATCTCTCTCTCTCTCTCTCTCTCTCTCTCTCTCTCTCTCTCTCTCTCTCTCTATGCTCACGACTACATCCATCGCTACCATCCCACGGATAAATGCGTTACGCGAAGGTGACGAATTTTGGGTGTATCCCGACGGCGTCGATCGATATCCTTCCCGAGCAGATCCTCCGGGATATCCTACTTACCCTCGCTCCCGTCTCGCTCATGCTCTACCCACCGACATAGTCCCGGAGTACTCTCTCTCTCTCTCTCTCTCTCTCTCTCTCTCTCTCTCTCTCTCTCTCTCTCTCTCTCTCTCTCTCTCTCTCTCTCTCTCTCTCTCTCTCCCTCTCCCTCCCCTTCGCTCTCTCTCGGCGTACCATATACCGAATAATCGAGAAGTGTCACTTACAACAACGTAACTCACAGTGCGTCCGGACACGCGCACAGGGACCGTCGCGCGAAATATACGCGAAATTCACGTGGAGCGACTCGGCTCGGATAACGGGGGCCTTATCTACGGCGGCTCGACACAGCTCGGGACAATCGCAGGGATCCCGCCCCGCCCGGGCCTTCCTTCCGGCTTCCTTGACGCGCGCGAGCGATACCCCCCGCCCCCCGAGCCCCTCCGGCCCGCTCTGAGTTTTTCTTCTTAATTAACGCTTACCAATGACGTGTACATGCTGCGGCGGTAATCGCTGATGGGCAAGTGTTTATCAAGCCCCGCAGCGCTCGTCGTATATATACCCCTGGAGGCATCACCAACACCACCGCGACGGTTCGATGCACCGATGGCCACCATGTTACGAGGTAGGATGCACATGGGACACACAGAGCCGCGTGCGGGACAGACAGAGGGGTTTACACGGATCCACGTTTAACGTGGAGAGCCGGCTCTGCATACGCGTAAGCATGTGTGTCGCTGATGCGCCCGTACCGTACCGGAGGAAGAGAGACAACGCGATGTACGACGTTGAGAACGAGAGAGCGAGAGTGAGAGAGAGAGAGAGAGAGAGAGAGAGAGAGTGAGAGAGTGAGAGACAGAGAGAGAGAGAGAGAGAGAGAGAGAGAGAGAGACAGAGAAAGAGAAACAGAGAAAGACAGAGGGAATACTACCACTTCCCTGAGATCACCATGTCACATAGCGCTAAATGTCATCGGGTCCGCGTTAGAGGACGCTTACTCAATTGTCATAATTTCCTTAACGATCTTGATTTTTTTTTCGGGACGGACCTCGCGCGGAAACTCGCGCTCCGCGCGATCGAGCGAGTCGACTCTCCAGCCTAAGAGCTCGTCGTCGCGCTCGAATGTCTTCCCTGTTAACATTTCTTTTTTCAAAATATGTAGCCTCGATACGAGATAATGTATTCTTAATCTGTGGATCTAAATGTAGCTGAGCCACTAATCCACATCTACGCGCATACTTAACCCGGCATTATGTGCAAATGAGGTCTGAGATACGAGGAAAACAAAGACACTGGTCGAATCAACGTGATAATGAGCGCGTTTCGATTGGAGGGAACAGAATTTCCGCTTCTTATCAGCCAAATTCGATTCCAGTTCTGTTTCCTCCGAACGCTCGCCTCGAATCCCGTTTCCGCAGATCCGTCAATCGGCGGCAACGCTGGCGAATATGAAGATCCCGTTTCGCTCCGGCGCGTTTGCGGAGATTCGGGAAGCCGGCCGCGGTGTAAAAGCAACGTTTCTGTTCGTGGCATCCGTCATGTTTTTTGCAGCCGCTCTTTGAGTATTCTCGCTGTCGGATCAAAAGATCGAGAGCGGAAACTGAGCGTGGCACGCTCTAGGGTACGTTTGCGGTTGTCGTGTGGATTTGTGTTACGGGTTGTTCGTGGAAAAAAAAAAAATGAAAAAAAAAATGAAAAAAAAGCAGCCGTGTCTTTCGGTTGTAATAGTGCAACGCGTGCGCGCGACGCGCACAGAGAATGTACTAACGCGATGCGCCCGTGAGCTCTTCCGCCCGCGACGACGTTTACGCGACGCTCATCGTTTATTAGACGTTTCTTCCTTCTCCCTTTTCCACCTATTTCGCCTCGTTCGCCAACGGCGAAATTGCGTTATTTTTCCATTATTTTCCAGTCGTTAAACATCGCACGCGCGCGGCAAACACCCGAGCGGCGCGCGTCCCTCTCTCACTGCCCCTCTCTCACCGCTCGTATAATAAATATTACGTAACGCCGCTCGTAACTGCGCGCTCCGCCAACCGAGCGCTTCGCGAGTCTAACGTGATAAATCACGTCGTCGTTAAACAATCAATCAGCCGGACGCTCGTCGAATGGCCAATTGTCTCGATTCTTCTAATCGCGAAATCGAAATTAGTCCCGCCCGCCCGCCCGTCGATTTGCACGGCGAGATCAAACGGCAATGCTCCGCTCCAGCGGCGGACAAACGCACGCGACACACGCCGCCGCATTGTCCATTCTAATCAATCGGAAACGGGCCGGACAATCCCTCATTATCGGCCGATAATTATGTGTGCGCTCGCGCGCTCGCGCGCGCGCGCGCGCGCGCGTGCGCGTCTACTGCGTGTCGTGCTGCTTATTTACTTAGGGCGGAATTTTTCGTTTCCGAGGTTAACGAGCCACGCGTTGCGTTTGCGGACAGTCGGTGAGAAGAATCAAATAGTCGCGATTTTTCACGTGACAAAGGAGGGAAGACGTCGTGCTTAAAATCTTCTCAGGATCAGTGCGCAACATGCATCCCTTTGACTCGTCTTTTCTCTCTCTCTCTCTCTCTCTCTCTCTCTCTCTCTCTCTCTCTCTCTCTCTCTCTCCCTCTCTCGTACGGAGAAATAAATTCGACTGAATTAACGACGTCGTGGGGCTTGATTGAACGTGTTATGGCCGAAGGTGACGGGATTTCTGCTCCTTGCCGAGCTTGATTCTCAATCACGTGATTGTCATGTTAATTCGACCAATCTCTTTTTCGCGTGTTTAATTCGCGACGGAAAAAGAAACCGTGCATGGCAAATAAATAATTTGAACTTCCATGAGAAGAATCTTTTCATTGTTTATCAGATTCCGCGGAAATCATAAGAAACAGCAATTCCCCCGCGATCGCGATGCTAATCTCTTTTCTTATTACGCAATGACACGCGAGCGTCCGCGCGCACGCGTGTTCACGATCGATAGCGCTCGCGTATGGTTGATATAAAGCGATGCATGTGCCGGAAGCTGCAGGATTATACACGTACGTAACATGCGTATCTAATTAATAATCAATGCTATTCCAGCGGGATGTTTGAGATTGTCAGTAAATATCGCCGATCAGCTATGTTAATGTCTCCGCAGAAGCCAAGTGGGTTATGTTTGTCTTGCAAATTCTGTGCTACATTTCATAAGAGCGCGAACACGCCGACGGAGACGCCGATGACGACGATGACGACGACGTCGTCGTCGTCCGACCGATCGCGATGAGAGGGGCAATTTAACGAAACGTCTCGATCATCGATCAGGCATCGAGCGAGACACGTGCGAAAATGCGACGTACGCGTGTAGCTCTCGATCACCGGCATAATCAAAGATCGGCCGATCGGAATAACATCGGACGTCTCGTCAAAATTCATTGATTCAGTTGATCAGTCGGTGATAAGACTCGCGGCAGACGGCATAACGTAAGCAGCGAGCAAATTGATCAGCCACAATCAACAATTCTCTTTACGATCCGAGAATAATCGGCCGTGGTCGGTGAATTTTCTCACCGCTCAATCCTCGCGCATTTTACGTTTTCCTGTGCATCGTGATCCTTATTCAGCGACGTCGCGATTTGCGACGTCTCCCTTCTTTCCAACGAGGGTCATCCGTCCCCCTCGTCCCCCTCGTCTTTGGCTTCTCCTCACCGCGCGCAATCACCGATCGGGGACATCACCGCGGCGAAATATACTCGTGTGTAACATTACAGGCAGAATCCGACGAACGAACGCCGGCGAACGGTGAATTATGCCGCGATAGGCGTCACTTTGCCTCTTTTACGGGAAATGTAAGGGGCACGTAGCACGACAATAAATTCTCGCGTGTCTCTAGGAATGCCAGTTGCTCACTGCGCGCGCGCGCGCGCGCGCGCACGCGCGTTGCAACGCTGTGTGTAGCCGGCGTGATTCACAAAGTCACGTCATCGATATATCCGAGCGATTTTCTCAAGAGCGCATTTGCATCCACCGAGAGAATCGCGCTTCGGAATGCACGAGGTGCCATGCGCGATTGCTTTAAAATAATCCGTCAATCGAAACCAGGAAGGGAAGCACTGAGTGTTTCTCTCCCCTCCCCCCCTCCTCTTCCCCCGCTTCTCTCTCTTTCTGCCGCTCTCAACATGATATGTACGTTGAAATGCTTCTCGCGATCGCTCGTTGAATATTTTAATGTGTCGCGAATCAACGAGGGACGTCAGCTCGCGAGTATGACGATGTGTAGGAGACGATAGGCTTCCGCGGTAACGTAAGGCCCCTTGCACAACGCCAGGCAACAAGCAATAAGAATAAAAATAGGCGAATCACAATCGACTATTACAAGAATAATCTATTGTGATTGGTCTATTTTTATTCTTATTGCCTGTTGCCTGGCATTGTGCAAGGGGCTTAACACTCGCGTCCGGCAGTAAGTGATTGGCTCGTTCTTCCGGAGCTATGGAGAATTTCAATCACGAACGATAATCACTTACTACAGCGGCAACACGGCGAATAAACGTATAGGGCAGACGTAAGGACAGATAATTTGCGCGGCACCCGTAATTCTCGAGAGAATTTGCCATTCTCTCTTCTTCCGAACTTTTCTAAGGGAAATATGTAAAACCAGCTCCATACATATACATGTGACCCTCATTAATCTCGAGCGAGCGGAAACTCGCGAAGTTGGCGCACCAACGTGGCGTGGGAAACTAATCGAGACGATCGCGGCGCGATAACGGAGATCGAAGCTTTATTCCCGACCTCTTGCCTTGCCGCCGGCGTCGCGGTGAAAAAGTTAGCCCAGGATTTCGGCTGAGCCGAGAAAGTCGTCTTCTCTTCGAATCCTCCTCCGAGACTTAGCGCGCGCACGAACGCTCCGCTCGCGAGACGCCTCGCCTCGCTTCGCTTCGCCTCTTTTACGGCCGCTTTCGCGTCTCGCGGGGGGCGCGACAAGGAAACGTTAATTGACGTGGCGAAGCGGCGGCTGGGACGATCGCCTATCTGTCGGTCGGCGGTCGCGGGACGACCGTCTGGCGGGATATAGGGGAAAGTTAGCGCGCGATACGTTTGGGCTTTTAATTAGCTGTGTTACGTAACGGCGGCGGTCCGCGTGTGCGGCGCGTGTGCGGCCACAAAGGACGCGCGAATAAATATCAGCTGTGAAAGCGGCTAACTGGGTAACGTCGGAACGACGTATACCGCCAGCGCGGAGAGCGCGCGGCGCTTAGTGAGCGCACCCTGAGGAGGACTCGCGCAAAACGCACCCCCCGATGCGCGATCGTTCGGTGCGACCAAAGTTTCACATCGTCGCGCACTCGGCCGCGCTATTCGCTGCGACAATCATTAATTTCTCGCACCGCTGCCTCGCTAACATACGCGATCTTATCTGATCGCGTGTTAACGCGCCCGTAAGATCTCTCCGGGAGAGAGAGAGAGAGAGAGAGAGAATAAGAAAGATAAAAGAGGACAAAGGTACAGAATGAGAAAGACGGGGAAAGAAGAAGATACGGGACAAGAAAGACAAAACAACAGAGAGAGAGAGAGAGAGAGAGAGAGAGAGAGAGAGAGAGAGAGAGAGAGAGAGAAAGAGACAGGAATCGAGAAAGTGCGCTCTCGCGATACGGAAT